CATTTATCTATCTATCTATCTACATATCTATCTTCTCTATCTCGCGATAATTCATAGTTATATAAGAACTAATTATTTAAGATGAAATAAAATGTCTATAAAAAAGTGGAGAACTCCGTTGGTTGTGTGTATCTGTTGATAGAGGACGAGAAAAAAAGTATAGTCATCAGATTGTTCAGAAGTATGATTATTTATTATAGTCGTATCAAAGATACGATTTACTTTTTTCTCGTTTTTTTTTTCTACAGTCTTATATAAAGAATAAAGAAATTCAGTGACTATAAACAAAATAAATGAAGAGAAAATATTCACTGTTGCGTTTCACTGAGTACGGTGTTGCCCTTCAAAAGGCAGCTTGCGTTTAAAAAATAGCAAAGTGCCCGATGACGAGCCGCATCGTAATCAGCTCAGAATTATTTATATTTCAGAATTTTTCTTATAACAATATTGCAAAAGAAGCATGCAAGATATTCTCCATTTGGTGTACATTGTCACTGTTTAACTTCCAAATTTAAATTTTTAGCACTTCATATGCTGAATATAATATAATTATTTTTATCACATTATACACAATTATATTGGAATTTCTATAATTAAAGAAAGATTCAAACGGAAACTAACTCAACTAATGATATAAACTTTAAGGAAGGTGCCTTCTGACTGAACATTTTGTGAAATTAAAACAGAAACTTTATAACTACTGAAACTTCTACACAGGATGTTGTAGTTTAGAGATTAACTCAGCCATAAGAGGAAACAGGAAGGGGCGGATAGCTGCATAAGATATCACCTTAGTAAATGTAGTACTAAGTGCGACAAAAGATGTGGAAATTTTGGATATTTTTTTTCCATTTTTTCCATTTTTTCCATTTCCAATTTCATTCTAGAAAATATAAATATTGTAATTTTCTATGATTTTATCTTCGATTTCTTGTTATCATATTGATAATATGAATCAAATTATATTTGGAAGTTTAACATACATGTATATTAAAACTATATAAATTACTTTAAAATATTATTGAAACTTTGATTTAAATCTGGATAACATTTATATTTAATGAAATGCACATTTAAATCAATATATATAAGGCAAATCAACACTTGAATTTCTTTCAATAATATTATTATCACAACTAAACGAAAATTAATCTCCACTCTTTAATCTCACTTAAAATATTATAAAAACTATTAAGAAATATGAATTAATGATTTAAACCTATTTAAAATTGCCATATAAGCAGAAATTAAAAATAGATAATCCAACTATTCTGGACCTTCCTCTTTACAATTTTAATTAATTCTCAATTAAAAATTAGGTCAGTTGAAATTGAAGAGAAAAATTTTTAAGTAATTTTTTTTATATAAATGTTTATATAATATATATATATATATATATATATATATGTATATAAATGTTTATATTATTAGATGGTTATAAAATATTTATCAAAGTATTTTAAAAAACAAGCTTTAGACACATGAAATATTTAGGGACAATTCAGAGTTATTGGTTTTTCTCTTGACATGATTACAAAAAAATTTTTTTAGTTCGTTAGTCATAATCGCTCTCGTCCTCTGACTTGAATGAGTATTTTTTTTTCCCCTCTTCTTTTTTTCTTTCCATAAGATTTGTGGAAAATAGAAAACTCTCTCCATCTATTAATGTTGTTAACATTAAAGATATGCATATATTTGCTTCACGACTGGTTAAGAGTCAGCATGTTTCAGATTTTATAGTATATAGATGTTATTTCCTCTTAAAAGAGGAAATAATGTTTTTCTTCTTTAAAGGAAAAATTTGAAATAGTACAAAAGAATTTTAAAATCAAGAAATAATATAATTTAGTATTAACAGTAAGAAAAATCTCGTTAGGGAAAAATTTTTTTATTTATTAAATTAAAATGATTGATTATTTCAATCCAAAAAACTTCATTAATTATATGAACAAATATAGGAAGAGTCATAAAAACTATAGGAAGACCTTTTTTTTTTCAATCGAGTATATTACAACATTATTACTATAATTTTGATTATTTTTATTTAACATGTTTCTTACATAGCTAAAAAAAATCCGCAAGTCCTAATGCGTGCTAATGCATGGATTAAATCTACATCGTTTGATGCGTTTTCGGTCAGTCCCTTCAGTATAATATAAACACTTGTAAAAATACTTGTAACAAGTGCGGAATCATCAGGATAATTGTTAATTGAAAATAAAAGATGACGAATAAAGTTTTTCGTATGTAAGAAACACAGATTTCATTTCAAAAATTCATCGATGATTGTGAAAATTAAAAAGTACCAAAGTAGGATTTATTTAATAATACTCTATAACGTTATTTGAACAAAATTTTATTCGAATAAGATTTTAATCATAATTTAAAAAAGCCAAACGATGAATGATATGTGATGTAACGCAAAATTAATCTTACAATTGAATATGTAATTAGAAATTTGACTAAAGAAGAAAAAAAAACAGAAGGAAAAATTATTAGTACAATTATAATAATTGTTTAATCATGTGATGCTTAATTTTACTTTCATCAGGAAAATATTACATTGATATAATATTTAAAGTGATAGATTAGAAATTGAAAAAAATTTCTCCATTAAATCTAATCATTTATCAGGTTAACATATTAATCTTAATCTTCTAAAAATTAAAAGCGATCATCGTTAATTTTGATCTTAGTTTCAGTTTCCCGTCCACATTAATTTCAATAAATTTATTCGAAATCATTTAAAAATTATTCGTTACTTGCGAATAATTTAATTTATTTGAAGATTATTTAAATAAAATTTTTATTCGAATAAGAACTTAATTGAATAACGTTTATCTTTAATCTACATATTAGAAAAATAGGAATTATTAGTTTTAGGGAATAGAAATTTCATATAGAATATTTAATATATTTGATCATAGGAAAATATATTTTCAAATTGAAATAATGAAAACGAACGAAAGATTAGAAACAAAAAACTTTTCTTCCTTTCTTGGTAATTAAACAATACACTTATAATTTTCAACATCAACAACATTTGTTGTTCACAGGAAAAATGATCGCACAGTCATGAGGAGGAGCCACATGAGGCCTTTAAAATTCATTCAGTCGACCCGCTTTTACAGGACCATCTGGAATGTTTTTTTAGTGGACCGATAGTTTTATCTTTTTCGATGATTCACAATTGAATCACAATGGATGTAAAAAAACTGCAGCCTGATCGAATCAGAGGAATTAAGAGGAATGTAAAAAAAAAAATTGTCATCATCATTTAAACATCATAACTCGGATTAACATTATCAAATTTTTATTGTATAAGTTGAACGTTTTTTATTGCATAAAACAACTTTTACTAAAATAGAAACATGATTATGTATGTATATTTATTTATTTTCATTCATATGTAGCATTCATATTAGTAATTAAAAAAAATTATTCAATGAAAAATTTGCAGTTCTGAGAAAGAGAAATTGAACCCTGGCACCCAATATGCTAATTTCTAATTAGAAATGCTTTGAAAATTCCTTGCCGGAGAAGGACGAGAATCTCCGAGTTAGTAGGTACATATTACTATGATCGAAGATGACTCATACATTATGCTGTAGTTGATTTTTCTCGAGCGAATCAACTAGAGTCGATGCACGTATATACGTATATTTAGGCTTATTTTTCAATTAATTTTTCAAATATATATTTGAATTTATGAAACATTCTATCGAAATATCCAATTTTTTTCAAAAGATCATTTATAAGTTCGATAAAAACTTTGTTAGCTTATTCGTTAATTGATTAAATCAAAAACAGTTAAGAAGAATATATTAAGAATAATGTAGCCAATGTAATCAATTCTTGACCTAGAAATATTTGCATTCGCGTTATAATTACAATATGCGACATGTGATATCCGGAATTATTTAGTATAATAGTGATATTCAATTTCTCGTTTTAATCATTTGACATACAATTTAATTTTATCGTAAAATCAAGAAAAATTTTATTACCACTTCTCAAAATCTTAAAATAATTATTATAACAAATTATACATCTTTATAAAATTAACAATAGCAATTTTTTGAAATTAATATTTATTGCAAATTCTACAATTAAAAAAATCAAATATTAAGTTAACAAGCAAGTTGCATCATGTATTATAAATCTATGGAGATATAAGTGAATGTAGGTGAATAACAATTGGTCCAGGATATGTCGCAGCACGATATAATATCTGTGTTTTATGGAATACCCTACGAATCAGCTTACCAAACATGCATAGCCCACAAAAAGATATTCGTTTCCGCCCAGCGTGATATCCATGGTATCACAGGAAGGTTAGAATCAGCCTCTGTACACTACTACATTAAGCGATGTATATATATATATATATATATATATATATCTTTTTCAATTAATTTGAATCCATTTGATTAAAAATATCGAATCATTTCTTTTTCTTTTTTGAAGAAAGATATATAAACAAAATAAAAGAATGTAAATAAAACTAGAGAAAATCGAGATTATTATAACACTACACTCTTCGATTTAAAATGGTTTAAAACAATTTGAATCAATTCTGTTAAATTAGAAATATGCAAAATTAATATAAAAGATATAACCATAATACAACCACCAACTGGTACGATATCCCGAGGGCGACTGAACTGAACACTACTGAACAGTGAACTTGATTTACAGCTGCGGAGAAGGGAGGATTCCGAGAGAAAGAAACACGTGGTGCGATCCTCCGAATGAAGAGGGGATCTGCGACACTTGGACACGGGATGCGTAGCTTTTTCTTTGTTGATCAACGAATCGAATTGTTAAATGAATTGCAAATTAAATTTTGATCATATTAATTTAAAAATGTAAACATGGTTCGTCAAATCTGTAATTTCATTTATCGGTTCGTCAAATTTTCATGCTTTGTACAAGTGAAGTTACTATTTAAGAATTTTGTTGAATTCTTGATACTTTATTTATAGATGTATTAGAAGTTTTATTCAAGATAACTACATAAGCTTTTAAAGATCAGTTAGAAATGATTATATCAATTTTTAATTGAAAATTTATTATACTTCATTCCTGATCTATCCATTGATTATGCAATATGAATATATAATGAATATAATGAAAATAAATAAAAAAATATTCGTTCTTTTATGTTATTGAGTAGCAAAAGTTATAATTTTTTAAAAATGTCATTATCATATTTCACAATTAAAGATTTTATTTTCAATAATTTTATAATGAAAATAAAAATAACATTTTTTAGAGAAAATAAAATATAAAAAATATTTAGACGCAAGCGTTTAACTCAAATCAGAAAAGTATCATCGAAAGTTTATCAATTATTTGAAAGACCTATCTAAAAGAGAAGAAGAAAAAAAGGTCAATACATATTGGAAAAATAAAATAAATAGAAACATATGGAAGCAAAGGGGACTTGGAAAGGGTCAAAGGGCAGTGTCCTGAGGCGAGGGGACAGAACCGGGCCAGAGAAAAATTTGCATTTCCTGTTCACAATGAATAATGCTGAATGGAGAAGCCTGGTCGTCGAATTAATTCAATAATCCTCGAAATTTCAACCAAAAAGATGTTTCATGTTTCAAAGTCTTTATAGAAGAAATCTATTCGTAACCATAAGCCATCAGAATTAGATTTATTGACATAACACTTTTATCACGAAGAATATCACGATACTTATTATTTTATATTTTTATTACTCATTATATTTTTTATATTCTTATTTCTCTTCTACAGATTTGTTAATCAAATGTTAATAACCATAATTATTATTATTATATCTATAATATAAATTTATTTTTTCATTAGGATTATATCGAATAAAAAAGAAAGAGGGAAGTGGAATGTTTATGAGAACGGTTGTTCCTGCCCCTGAGGTTGTTGACCATACATGCATCTATTTATGTAGAGGTCTTTATGTTGACTTTGGGTTCCCAGGTATGATTGGATATTCATAGAAATAACTCGTGTCCATTAATTTTGGCCAAATTCCTCTGTCTTTCAGTTAACGTTTTTTGCATTCCGTTTATTCTTTGATATTGCTCGAAATAATTATAGAATATTCAATTGGAATGAATTTGTATGTAAATAAAAGAATTAGTTTAGTTTGAAGAAATTTCCAAGATATATATAAAACGGTTAATAAAAATATTATGAAATTATATACATAATATAGATATATAATAATGTTATATATTATTATATGAATTCTAAATATGATAAAATTATCAAATAAATTTAAGAGAAGTTAAGAATTTAAATAAAATTAAGAAAGTAATTCAGAGAAATTACATAAAATTAAAATAAGTCAAATCGATGATTTTATCAATAATTTTTATAATTTTTAAATATGTTATAAAGAACAAAATTAAAGTATTTTTTCTTATACATATAATCGTCAAATGATTGATCTTAATAAATAAAAATATAGCAAAGTTCATAAAAGAACTATTAATTCAATATATATTCTTATTGATGTCAAATCAGATTTGCTGAATATTCTCTTATTTATAAATAAGAGAAATATCTTAGTTATAAATAAATCATAAATCTTATCTTATAATATATAGTGCATTTCAACTATTATAATCATTAAATAAAACAATTGCATTTGGAGGACAGAAGAAAGAAGAAAAAATAGAGCTTGAAAAGGAATAATGGTGTAACCGCTAACTATTCAAAGAAATGGAGTATACTTGTCTCTGTATAAAAACGCACATTGAAGCATCTGGAGTTTTAAAAGAGAAACTAGAAGGAGCTTGTGCAAAAACTGTTTATATAGCTCGCATACGGGAGTAAGATTTTACTGTCTCCTAAGAGATAATGATTATCTTTTAGATATTATTTTAGATTTTTTAAATTAAAAACGAAATATAAATATAAACTAATCAAAAAATTTATTTAATATAAATAAAAAAATTATGAATATGAATAATGTAAAAATTTACAAATACATGTTTAATACATGAAATATGAAAGAAATATGAAGAGATTGTGATGAAGAATAATGAAATTAAAATGAAATATTCTAATATTCTACAGTGATAGTTTTTGTTTTTAAATATTCGTTTAAAGCTTCTTGACCCAGATCTTTACCAAAACCAGACATTTTGAAACCACCAAAAGGTGCAGCCACATCTGTCTTGTTATAAGTATTGATGAATACTGTTCCAGCTTCTATTTTCTCAGCAAACCTAAGAGCTCGACTGATATCCCTTGTTAAGATACCAGAAGCCAATCCATATTCTGTATCATTCGTCCTTGCAATCATGTCATCTACGTTCTTCGAACTGAATTTGGAAATAATCATGATGGGACCAAAAGATTCCTCTTTAGCTATATACATGTCATCTTTCACGTCTGTGAATATTGTTGGCTCAAAATACCATCCTGGACGATCTAATCTTTTCCCACCATAAATTAATTTAGCTCCTTCTTTAACTCCACGTTCCACAAATTTCAAAAGTTTGTTTAAATGAGCTTTATGGTTCTGTGGTCCATGGGCTGTGCTTCTATCTAGGGGATTTCCTATGGAAATCTTCTTAGTCTCCTCTACTATCCTTTTCAAGAATTCATCATGAATTGTCTCTTCCACAAATAGCCGACCTATTTAAAAAGAATAAATGTTTTGATTTTCTTTTATAAATAATAGATTAATCATTTTTTAAATAAAAGTTTTATTTAATATTCTGAATATTATACCAGCAGCTATGCAGTTTTCTCCTTTGTTGAAGAACACGCTGCTCATTGCAATTTTAATTGCTTGCTGTAAATCAGTATCTTCGAAAATAACTAAGGGACTTTTTCCACCTAATTCTAGGGATACTTTTTTCAAATTACTATTTGCACAAGATTTCATTATAGACTGTCCAATTTGTGTAGACCCAGTGAAACCCAGTTTTCTGATTAGAAGATGTTCACAAATTGCATTTCCAGTCTCAGTTCCGTTTCCTGGTACGATATTCACCACTCCAGGTGGGAAACCAGCTCTTGCAGTTAATTCTGCGAATTTCAAAGCTGTTAAAGGTGAAGCTTGTGCTGGTTTCATTACCACAGTATTGCCTGCTGCCAGGCAAGCTGCCATCTTCCAAGAAAGCATCATCAAAGGATAATTCCAAGGAGTAACCAGGCCACAGACACCAATAGGTTCTTTTCGAGTAAAGGTTAAATTACGATTTGGTCTGGCATGAGTTATTGGTATGGTAGAGCCTTGAATTTTATCACACCAGCCAGCGAAA